CCACCCTAAAGAGATTCTAACCTCACACTGTTGATAAGTTTACCAACATGGGTTTGGGCCAACATTACATAGGACAGAAAAAAAAAAAAAAAAAAAAAGACTATTACATTTATCAATCAATAGCATGGGTGTAAAAAAAAAATCTACAGTAAAATTCTTTGTTGGAATGCTTTGCACTTTCCACAGGACAGAAACTAAAATAACCTGTTTTATATAATAAGTCAGAAATACAGTCCTCAAGTTTTTTGCCCATACACCTAAATATTGTCTCAAACATGTCTTTATAGCAGCTAAGCCCCGCCATCATTGCACTTGGCTAAGTTCACAAATCTGTTGTAACCTGTAGCTTCCCTGTCACTTACCTGCCTGTCTTCTCCTGCTGAGCTTTGTTTCCTGGTGGTAGTTAAAACTTTCTGCCACTGTGACAGCTACTACTGCTACTGCTGGAACCTCCATAGCCATCTTGATTTCATAGTTTGGCCAAGTATTGTCATTCACTACCATGGGGGCCAGAGCTTCTGCCTCCAAAGTCTCCTCCCTGCATAGGTTCAAAATTCGAAAATTGATTATTGTAATTGCCAAAATCATTGTGTCTTCCTTCACCTCCAAAATTGCTCTGGTCATTCTCAAGTCTGTTATAGCCATCCACACTTCTAGTTATCTACCACCACCTTGGCCACCACCAAAGCCACCATGACTGTTGAAGTTTCCTTCAGGATCAAAGTTGCCATTCTCACCAAAACCACCTCTACAACCACCACCGAAGTTTCCAGACCTCTTCAACCTCTTGGGCTGGGAGAAGCACTAGCCATTTCCTTTTTGGCCAGGGTTTTCCTGACTTTGCAGTATAGCCATTTATGGTATGGTATTTCTCTTTCTAATTTTTTTTAGAGGTTTTTGCTATAGGGCACATGCACTCACCAGAAAGACAGAGAAAGACAGAGAGACAAAAAGCAAGAAATCACCTCCCAGGGGGGTTGGCCACACCGCAATTCCTTCTCCTCCATTATCCTCTTGGGATCTTGGGCACACACACACACACACACACACACACACACACGGAGTGAGTTTAAGCCACTGGGTCTGGGACCATAGTCGACTACATGAGAGTCCAGTGATATAGTCATTACACCATTGGCTGGTCCCCCATGATATGGCATTTCTAAATGACAATCTTATCTGCAGAGTCATGATCATCAAAGGCTACAGAAGCAAAGCTCGTTTTTGCCATTGCCTCCTCAGTCAATTATGATTTCAATCACTTCAATTTTACCATAGTGTTCAAAATAATCTCCTAGATTATATTCTTCAGTGTCTTCTTTAATGCCACCAACAAAGATCTTTTTCACAAGTAAGTTGATACCTGGTCTGTACAAATCTTCTCCTGAGAATCCTGAGACAGCCCTCTTTGGTTCCACTACTCTTCCATTCACCTTGTGTGGTCTTGTACTCATGGATGCATCCACCTCCTCCACAGTGGCAGATGTGACAAACCCAAAGTGCTTGGTGTTTAGATCTCTCATTACCACACAGTTCTTGAGTGTTCCCCACTGCTCAAAATGGCTCCTCAGGGGACCAGCAGTTAGTGCAATGGCTGTGTTACTGGACCCCCATGTAGTCGACCGTGGTTCACATCCCAGGCCCGGTGGCTTAATACTCACGCCGGGCGCGTGTGCGTGCGTACCCAAGATCCCGAGGGGAGAATGGAGGAGAAGAGATTGCGGCGTGGCCATCATCCTGGAGGATGATTTCTCGCTTTCTGTCTCTCTGTTTCTCTGTCTGGCGAGCGCACGCGCCCTATAGCAAAAACCTCTCAAAAGGTTTTTGAGAGGTTCCTCAGGCCCTCATTTGTTTTGAAACTCAGTCCTCTGATGAAGAGCTTTTGCAGATGTTCAGTCTCTTTTCAGAGACTGATTAGACATAATAGAGTGGGGAAGAGAGACTTCAATGATGGTTTCTCAGTGGTGTCCATAGGCAGAAAGGAGTAAGCTAAACGATGCATCTCACTTGGGTAGCTTTCTAAAAACACGAAGCCTATTCTCAGGGAGACTGATTCAATCAGTATGGATTGGGGATTATACTATTACAATTGCTATTTTTATTTTCTAAAGATTATGATAGTCAATCAGTATTGAGACCTACTGCTGTGGCCATAAAAGTACACCTGCCATTGGCTCTCATGAGGGCTGTCACTTCTAAACAAGGACATAGATTTATGGAGACATTATAGAAGAGAATTTCTCAGTCTTGATTTCATATTTGCACTAATATTCAGACTTCCAGAAAGGCAGGTTTTTCTAAGAGCTTTCTGCATAAAACATTTTAACCTATTACTTTTAGAAAATAGAAGCTCAGCAGGCCTTCTGATATTCTGAATGGTGTCAGCAGGCATAAGGCTGACAAAAATGCTGTCCAGTAATGAAACTTGCCTTAAAGATAAGCAAGTCTTGCCCCAAAACCATGTGGTTATAACCTTAAGGTTTATAATCACCCAGAGATTATAACCTTTAAGAAATAACAGACCTAAAGCTGTCCAAGATACATGATCAAGGACTTCCTTCCTCTTTTTTCTCCTTCCTCCTCTTTCATATAGTTATTTACTTATTCATTCAAAAAAAAAAAAAGAAAAAAAAAAAAACCACTTCTCAAGCGCCTACTATGCACCAGATACTAGTATGCAACTAAACAAGACAAAATGTTCCTGAGTTCAGCAGTAGGTTTACCTTGAATGTGAACTCCATTAATCTGGAGACCGTGATTTTTATTTTGTTTTCTTGTTTTGAACACCACTGTATCCCCCGTCTTTAGCCAATAATAGCCAATTAATAAATATTTAATGAATCAATGAATAAATAAATTCAATGAAATGTATCATTGTAAAGGTGTTTTTGACACAGGAAATAACAAGACACTGTGAGGATAAGCATATTAATAGAAAACTAAATTATACTAAGAAATTTGGGATGGTTCTCTGGGAAAAAAAAAATTTGAAGATGAGATTAATGTAGGGAGTTGGGGGTGCCATCAGTGGCATAGTGCTGACTGCACTGGACTATCACACATGGTTGAACATGTTTTGAGTCCCAAACCTGGAAGCTTGAAACTCATGCCAGGTGCATGTGCATGTGCACCCAAATTCCCAGAAGGAGAATGGAAGGGAAATTGCAGCATGGCCATTCTCCCTGGGTGGTGATTTCTCACTTTCCCTCTCATTATCTCTCTCCAGTGAGTATGGGTGTCCTATGGCAAAAACTTTAAAATGAACAAACGAAAAATGTGGGAAATTGGGGTAGGCTAAAGGATTGAGGACAAGAGAAAAAGTGGTTCATCTTGGGCCATGGTGGCACAATGGTAAAAGACAATGCTCTGCAATGCTGACCCATGTGGCAAGGCTCCAGGTTTGCATCCAAAGACCTCCCTGATATGGGCATGTTGTGATCCAGGGAGGGCTGAGACGGGGATGTAACAGGATTAGGGGTCCCTCAGGGAATGCGGGACAGGAAATTTGTAGAATTCTTGTTTTTTTTATTTATTTTATTTTATTTTATTATTTTTTTTTTTTTTGAGAGGTTTTCGCTATAGGGCGCATGCGCTTGCCAGACAGACAGAGAGAGACATAGAGATAGAAAGCGAGAAATCACCCCCCAGGGAGGATGGTCACGCTCAATCCCTTCTCCTCCATTCTCCTCTCGGGATCTTGGGCACGCACGCACATGTGCCCAGCGTGAGTTTTAAGCCACCGGGTCCAGGTCGACTACGTGGGAGTCCAGCGACATAGCCATTACACTAACTGCTGGTTCCCTTTATTTTTATTTTTTGAGAGGTTTTTGCTATAGGGCACATGCACTCACCAGATAGACAGAGAGAGACAGAGAGACAGAAAGCGAGAAATCACCCCCCAAGGGGGGATGGCCACGCCACAATCCCTTCTCCTCCATTCTCCTCTTGGGATCTTGGGCAAGCACGCACACATGCCTGGCGTGAGTTTTAAGCCACCGGGTCTGGGACTCAAACTGCAGTCGACTATGTGGGAGTCCAGCGACGTAGCCATTATGCTAACTGCTGGTCCCTAGAATTCTTGTTTTATGTCTTTCGTTATTTTTAAGTCTTCTGTCTTTTTTTTTTTTTTTTAGAATTGTTTTTTTTAATTTTATTTATCTTTTTGCTTCTTTTAATTTGACCAGAGAGGGACAGAGCAAGAGAGAGAGAGAAAGTGAGAAAGCAAGTCACTAGGTCCAGCACTCAAACTGCTGTCAGTCATTGGGAATTCAGTGCCCTTAACCATCACACCACCTGCTGCCCCTTGTCTTTGAATGAGATAAGTATCTAAGATGGTGTTAACCACCAGAAGAGATCCAGATGGTGAACAAAGAGAGAAAGAAAGGTCCAAAGTAGAAACACGCTGTTGGGTGTTGGGTCTAGGGTGGGAGGGGAAGCCATAAGTGCCAAATATATGATATTAAAACTCAGAAAGATCAGGACTATGTCCTGAAGTGGACTTAGAATCAGTTAAGCATCCAGCATACCAGAGGGAAAGGCTGATTTATGAAGTGTTTGCTACAGCAATGGTTGGACTGGCTGGCTTAAATTTGTAAGAAAACCCAGGCAATCCAAAATTTTGCCAGACTCTCTGGAGGGGAAGGGACCTTACAAAGAAAATAAAATAAGATTTCTAGTTTCAGCGAGTTCATGATCTACTTGGAAACCTAAGATTAATTCATGTAAAACAACGTGCAGGGTGCCTCATGTGCCTTCTTCCACACCATTATTGCTCTTGTTGTCATGTTGGAAGTTAAATGACAAGAGAGTATCAGAATTAAACAAAAAGTTGAGGTGAAATATAAAGCAGCATGTGATCAACTATCAAATGAAAGACGCAGTAAAAAGATGAATAGTATTATTTGGAAGGTGGAAAGTAGTAAATAAAGTAGTTTCTGAAAACTTCTTGGAAACGAGCAAACTTAATAGTCATTATAAATCGACATGTTCTTTTACTGTAGTTATGACCAAGAACCTGGACAAGGGAGTGGCTTTCCATTGCCCATAGACTGCAGAATGAGCCCCTGGAGTGAATGGTCACAATGTCATCCATGCCTCGGACAAATGGTAAATGTTCATCTATGTCCTTCATGTCCTGCCCCAAGGGAAACTATATTGCTGGCATCTCCAAGGAAATGTGTATGAGGCAGGGAGCCCCAGAACTGAGTTCCAAACCAGGAAAGACAGGTAAATATCTAATGTAGGAAGTTGACCTTGCCAGGAAATCTGAATGTCGTATGGTATACCAAATGAGTGCTATGAGGACACTTCTGCATGAGACTGCAAAGCTGAGAATGCACCGTTACTGTAAGTAACATCGGGGACTGCTTCTGAACTGCTATCTTAAAACCATTGACTCATTTGTTTTTGGAGGGCTCCAGTAGTATGTGTGTATCTTTAGACCAGAATCCTTTTTGGGATTAGACATTCTAACGTTTCCAGTTTATTTTGTGCAGTTTCGCTCAAGGAGCATTGAGGTCTTTGGACAATTTAAAGGGAAACGTTGTGTTGACTCTGTGGGAGACAGAAAACAGTGTGTGCCCACCGAGCCCTGTGAAGATGCTGAGGAAGACTGTGGAAATGACTTTAAATGCGGTACAGGTAATCCTCACACTCCAATTGCTCACTGTGGGACTCTGTGTGCATTCTTGGTTGAAAAGAAGTAAACATAATTCTACGCATTCATAGTTCGAAGCGTGAAAGAATACTCATCGAGGGCTGCCTGACTATTCTACACACAAAAAAACCCCACAAATATGTTTGTCTGGTACCTCACCTCCAGTGTCAAAGGCATTTGGGAAACTCAGAAAGAGAGAAAGAAAATTTGGCATCAGACACCATGTCTTTCCTGATTTTGTTTGCAGGTAGATGCATAAAGAGGCGACTTGTGTGTAATGGTGACAATGACTGTGGAGACTTTTCAGATGAGGATGATTGTGAAGATGAACCCCGTACCCCCTGCCGTGAAAGGGTAGCAGAAGAGTCTGAGCTGGCACGGATATCAGGCTATGGGTCTGTATTTCACTTGATTTTTCCAAATGAAGATGAGTGAAAATAATCTCCATCTCTCTCACTGTAATAGAAGGGTTCTCACAGAGGGCACAGTTAGTACAACCTGTGGGTCTGTATTCTTTTTCAATTACTTTTGGAAGAAGTGTTGAACAAATATCAGAATAAGTTGGACAAACTGCCAAAAAAGCAGGGACCTGTAAAATAGACTAGACTATCAAGGTGTTAGGTGATTACTTTTTGATCCCATAGGAGATGAATATCTCATTTCTGAAACTCCGGAAGACCATAGCAACATTCACATGACATATTAACATTTGGAATTGATTCACCAGTCATAGGTCTGGCAATCCAATTCAAACAGTTGCAGTGCTAGCAAGGTGGTTTTCCCTTGGAACTTCTCTTGGATCTACATCTGATTATAAGTTCACAGGAGATTCCAGCATTCTAGACTTGACCTAGGAGGAATGGGATCAGAGAAAAGCAGTTCTAATGTCAGAATGGGGTGGTGGTGAGGTTCCAGTTTCCATTATGGAGAACTGACATTCACTGATTTTTCTATTGAAAGCATAGTGGCTCTGGATAGGTAGCTATAAGTTCAGTTGGGAAGTTTTGGAGTTTAGAACTCAGGGGTATGCAGAATAGAGCTCATATGCAGAGATCTGTGCTTCAAGAATTAAGAATATGACATAGGGAACCAGCAGTTAGTGTAATGGCTATGTTGCTGGACTCCCGCGTAGTCGACCGCGGTTCGTGTCCCGGACCCGGTGGCTTAAAACTCACGCCGGGCGCGTGTGCGTGCGTGCCCAAGATCCCAAGAGGAGAATGGAGGAGAAGGGATTGCGGCGTGACCATCCCCCCTGGGGGGTGATTTCTCGCTTTCTGTCTCTATGTCTCTCTCTGTCTGTCTGGCGAGCGCACGCGCCCTACAGTGAAAATCTCTCCAAAAAAAAAAAAAGAATTAAGAATATGACATAGATCTGTTTTCAGGTTATTAAAATCAGAAAGCATTGTAGGGATGTACACTGCACCGTCTCCATTAATTGTTAAGAACTATTTTTGGTAAAGATAGCTTGGGCAGATTTTTGGCAAATTGTCTCCAACAAAGACAGTTGTTCTCCCTACCCAATAGTATATGGATGGAGATGACATATGGCTCTAGCTCATCAACTATAATGTAACACATCTCTTCGTTTTCATAACCCTAGTGACTGGTTCATAGTAGTTCCTCAGTAAATACTTATCCAGTACATAAATAGATGAATGAATTAATTAATGAAAATCTGTAAGTGCTTTCTAATACTGTCAGTTGACATCAGGTGAAACTGAAACTAGGTTCTTAAAACAAAATTCAGGGACAGGGTTCTAATCTTGGGGATGAGGATTGGAAGGAGAAAGAAGATGGCAGTGATAGAAAGAATAAGGCCCACAGAAGGACTAAAGTAGCAGTTCTCAATCAGCAGCAATGATTTTCTCTCCAGGGCATTTGGCAATGTCTAGAAACCATTATTTGTCCCAACTTGGGGGGAGGTGGGGCAGGGAGTGCTACTGGCATCTAGTGGGTAGAGGTGAGGGATGCCAGTGAACATCCCATAGGTCAGAGGATAGCCCAATGCAAAATGATGGCTGTAGTGCTAAGATTGAGAAACCCGACATGAAGGTTCCAGGCAATTCCTAAGGTAAGACCTGTGTATCAGGTCTGGCTAAACTGGAGATGTTTCTTCTCTCCTGACCAGATGAATCTTCTACTTCTTTAATCAAAATAAGGACAAAATTCAGAGACCTCAAGAGTCAGGCAAAAGCATTTCACACACGTATATTCACTTTATGAATTCTTCTCAAACCTGCATTTAAATATTACCCACAGTGCTGTTGGACTCAGGCTACAGGTGGGGATCTTGAATAAATGGATGACGGCCTTGGGCCTAATGTTCAGCAACCCCTCTGTAAATGACAGCAGACAGTATGGGATTTGCCCGGCCTTATAGCCAGATCACTGCATGTTAAAATGAGACCTGACTCTTATTGTGGCTTTCCTCAGGGAGATGTTATGAGTCCATGGTGAAAGCCCATTACTACTTTATTTTGCTTCATTTGGAATCCAAGAAACAGTTATCTCTCTAAACCAAAGAACTGGAATCAAGAAATTACGTATGTTATTTGTTCTCACTCAAAGCTAATTTATAGTTTGTCTTATAGAAAAAGAATATAGAAATATCGGCCCACTTAGATGATCATTCATAATCTATCAGTTTTCTTTGTTTGGAGAAAAGAAAATTTTGCTTTATAGCATTTTCTAGGAGGTTTCATAATGAGACATCCCCAAGAGCTGGCAAGAAATCCTTGAATACTCCATGCTCCACCATGGCCAGAGCAGTATTGGGAAACATTACAAGGCAGAACCTCCAAGGCTAAGTAAGAGCATGGGTCCCAGCTAAGGGAAAGGTCAGTGGCAGAAGTGGAAATGAGGTAGCCCTGATAGAATCAGTCCATCACACTTTTAATTAAATTCTCTATTACCATAAGCATAAATCTATAACAAACTTTGTTCTCATAGAACTATTGTTCTATGGGACCAGCAGTTAGCAAAATGGCTATGTCACTGAACCCTCATGTAGCTGACCGCGGTTCAAGTCCTGGACCCAGAGGCTTAAACTCAGGCTGGGCGCATGTGCATACGTGCCCAAGATCCCAAGAGGAGAATGGAGAAGGGATTGTGGCATGGCCATTTCCCCAGGGGGTGATTTTTTGCTTTATATTTCTCTGTCTCTCTCTGTCTTTCTGGCAAGTGCATGCACCCTATAGCAAAAACCTCTCAAAAAAAATTTTAAAAAAGAACTATTGTTCTATGAAAACTTTCATTTGCATACACCGTAATTTCAAAGCAAAATTAACCTTAAAAAATGAAACTCCTGGGGCTGAATGGGGGCCCAACAATGCTCTGAGAGGCGATCTTCCATGGGAAGATTCCTATTTTAAGTACAGAGACCTCCCTGAGTATGCTGGGCATATGCTTGCTTATAATCGGGCTGGCCAGTCAAGACCCTGCTGGAAGTATTCTCTCTCTCCCTCTCTTTCTTTCTTTCAGAAGAAATAAGTAAGATTTAAAAAAATGAAACTCCTTAAGCAGTTATTTAGTACCCAAATATTTAAATTAAGACTGTAGATGAATGTGGGCCAGACAGTAGCACAGCAGTAAAGTATGACCCTGTGGACAATCTCACATGGGAGCATTCTTTGTTCAAGCCCAAAGTCCTCTTTGAGCATGCCAGACACATCCTTACCCATGATCTCGGGTTAACTGAAGGCTGGAGGTGGATTGAAGCATCAGACCCTGTTGGAAGTACTCTCTCTCATTCTGTCTCTTTTTCTCTCTCACTCATGGAAAAAATTAATGAATAAGACTTATAAAAGAATATAGGGGAATGGTATCAATCACTAACTAATATTTAAGAAAAAGTTTCAAAACAACATGCTTCGTTATATTTATGGTATATTTCTGTACCATTAATATTACATATTTATTTACTATAAAATCTCAGTTATTCTTATATCACACTATGGACTATGTGTGAAATAGAAGTACTGGGGTAAAGCACTCTAATCATAGGAACATACTTAAAAACTGCTACTACACAATTCAATCTGGAAAGCCTCAAGTCCTAGCAGCATCACGTACAGTCATATTCTTTTCCATATAAAAGTCACAAGCACTGGGGACCAACAGGTAACATGATGATTAAGGCACTGGACTTCCATGTGGTCAACCATGTTCAAGTCCTGGACCCGGTGACTTGAAACTCATGCTGGACACATATGCATGTCTGTCCAAAATGCCAAGAAGTGAATAGAGGAGAGGGATTGTGGTGTGGCCATCCCCTCTAGGGCTGATTTCTCATTTTCTCATTTCTCCTCTACTGTCTCTCTCTTGAGAATGCACATGTCCTATGACAAAAACTTTAAAAAAAAAAAAAGTCACCAGCATTTACAGTTATTAACTTAAACTTGTTTAGTTTTTGCTGAGGGCATGTGCACTTGCCAGACAGAGAGACAGAGGGAGACAGAGAGGAGAAAGTATTCCCCATGGGAAATAGTCACACTGTAATCCCTTCTTCTCCATCTCTCTCCTTTGTGGGATTTTGGGCACACACACATGCCTGTCATGTTTCTCAAACCACCAGACCCAGGACTCAAACCATGCGATCAATCATGTGGGATCTGGCTGCCTTAACCACCAGACTTCTGGCCCTACTCTTTTTTCCATTTGAAAGAGTCTCTCATTTAAATTCTTATGCCAGGAGAAATCAGTTGTGTCACAAACAAACGTTTAGCCTCTTGTCTTTTAGGCATCTGTGTCTCCAGAAATGTTTAGAGAAGTCCCTCAACCCATCTTACATTCAGTGAAAAAAAACATAAATTCAAACCAGCTGTAAATGATGTACAATGTGCAAGGAATTATTTTTTGTGTGATCTAAGCATAACACCACTCCTGTGAGGGGAGATTTCTCTTTAGCTTACCTGGTAAATTAGAATTGCCCATGACTCTGGGTGCAGGTGTGAAAGCAGGCGTCTTTAAGTACTGCCAAAGAACACGTTTTGGGGTTGTTTTGCTTTGTGTTTTCTTTCCCAGGTGATGACTTTCCATCCATGAAAAGTTTTCATGTTCCTTGGCAGCAAAAGTTGGCTGATTCTACACTAGGCTGACTGTTTCTTTAGAGTGGAAAGAAGTCAATAGTTTTTGAAATATGTCTTCCTTAGTCGTGTTTACACTGTAGATGAGCTTTGTTGTAACTTTGCAGATGGATCTAGCCAACTGGTCAATTTGTTGCTCTGTAAAACAATAACTTTCAAATGAGGGAATGTATATGATGGGGTACACAAAAACTTTCCAAGGAGAGACGAGTAAGTTTTAAGGTAATAGTTTTCTCAGTTGTTATTGAACTAATTTAATAGTAAATCCTCAACTTCAATACATACCTTTTTCCATAAAATTGATGAGCCTA